GGCCCTCGGACTCCAGGGCACCAAGAGCCTTGGCCAAAGGGAGTGCCTCGGTGCACAGGCCCCGCCCGCGACAGCGACGCCACCCACGGCCACCCAGGGCCCCCTCACCTCCCAGGCTCGCAGCTTGAACCGCAGGCCCAGCTGCGCGTAGTCGATGGCCGCATTGCCCCGCAGCAGAGTGAGGGCCCGCTGGAAGTCGAGCAGCGCCTCCTGGAACCTGTGGCCGCAGGGTCCCCTCAGCAGTGCAGCGAGGGCGCCCGCCTCTCACCAGTCTCTTGCCGCCGCCCGGCTCCAGGGGGCCCGGAAGAGGGCAGTGCTTGGTCTGGCCAGGGGCTCACACCTCAGTGTGTCGCGTGGGCACGGAGCCCACACCGGGGCGTGAGTTCTTTCCTGGCTCTGACTCAGCTTCCCAGGCACCCACTCCCCCTGCCTGGGTCCGTCTTCACCCCAGACCCTCCTCCGTACTGTGCAGGGGTTCCCACGGCATTCCCCACCTGCTGCTTGGGCCCCCCACCCAAGGGGCCTCTCCTCCAAACTTGGCACCTCCTTTGTCTCTCTGGAAGCTCCCAAGACCGGCCAGAACCCCACCTCCCCCAGGCAGGCTTCCTGGGTTGCCCCTAGGGGGATTTGGACCATGATCCCGGAAGACACCGTCATCCTGATGCTGATACTTCCTCAAAAACGAGAGACCAATGGCCCTTTGCCACGCGCATTTGTGGAAGGTAACATTTCTCAAGCTCTCTGCTCTCTGGGTGACTGCACATTAGGCGGCCAGTCTTGTCAAGAGCCTCAGGCTGTGGACCACAGGCTTCAGACGCCTGCAGTTACAATGCTCATCTGCTCACCACTGTCACACCCGTGCAGCTGTCACTAGTACACCTGGGTGTTCATGCCTACAAAAGCGTGCATGGTGGCTGGGTGCGGTGGTTCACGCCTGTCACCCCAACACTTTGGAGGCCGAGGCCAGAGGATGGCTTGAGCCCAACCTGGGCCACGCAGAAGGACCTCGCCTCCAAAAAGAAAAAGGAGTGTGCATGGCCTTTACCTATTTTGTTGCATAAGGTGGTCTATGAAGTGTTTGGTTGTGTTTTTATGTTTCTCAAATCCTTTCCTCAAATGTAAAAATATGTACATATCTTTTAAGTGCTTTCGCATTATTTTTTCTAGAAGTATACTTTTGGGAGTTTAGACTTTAAGGATTCTGGTCTTTCGGGGTTGTATCTTTCGGGGTCATGATGGGTTCTGCCCGGGGCCTGTCTCCTGGCACGGGGCCTTCTGAGCACGTGATGGGTTCTGCCCTGGATGCAGGCAGGCCCTGACGGTCACCCCTCCCCCGTCCCTCCTCTGAAGAGAGCACTGAACGCTCGGGTGAGCAGCGAGGAGCTGCCGCCTGGGTCCTGGGACGAGCCGCCCTCTGGCCCCACCTGGGTCCCCACAGTTGCCCAAACGGGCGTCATGACAGCACCCCAGCCAGACACAGGCCCAGAGAGGAGTGAGCTGGGGACGCCAGGAAGGGCCCTGGGGATCTCGGCAGAGGCAGGCCCGCGGTGGGGCTCTGCTCCTCCTCTCGCCCGGGTGTGGCTCGGCCCGGCCACCACGCCCCTGCCAGGCTTCCCCGGAGCCAGGAGCCATGGAGGAAGGGGTCGGGCAAGAGGAGGGACCGGCGGGGAGAGAGGCGTCTGCGTGCAGGGACTCGGCAGAGGGACAGGCCACGGGCGAGGGGCCCCAGGCTCACCGCTCCAGTTGGAAGTGGGTCACGCCGCGCTGGAAGAAGCCAACAGCCATGCACGTGTCCTTGGTCACCGCCTGGTCAAATGCCTGGGGACAAAACGCCCATGGAATGCCAAGGTCTGTAACTTGGTCGCCCAGTATCAGATATAGCGTGACTGGGGACGGAGCCACAGATTCCATCAGTCCCTTGAGAGCTCCCGTGGGCTCCCTGCTCCTGCCAGCGGCCTTCCCAGCCCCGTCCTGGGGAGATGGCCCCGGCCAGCCTCCTTCGCTGCCACAGGTGAAGCCAACCAAGCTGTTCTGTTGGCTCGGGGCCCGAGGTGATGTTGAAAGCTGATTTGGCCGGGCTCGGTGGCTCAGCCTGTCATCCCAGCACTTTGGGAGGCCGAGGCGAGAGGATTTCCTGAGCCTGTGGGTTCAAGACCAGCCCTGGCAAGTTGGCAAGACAGCATCTCTACAATAAATTGAAAATTAGCCAGCCGTGGTAGCATGCGCCTGTAGTTCCGGCTACTTGGAAGGCTGAGGCGAAGGAATGCCACTGCACTCCAGCCTGGGCAAGAGTAAGATTCTGACTCAAAAAAAAGGAAAGAAAAAGAAAGAACCACACCCAAGTCTTAGTATCATAAGTTCATCTGTGTCAAAGGACAGCTCCCCCTTAAACCAGACTCAGAAAGGACGTCATGCGTTCCTAGTGCAGGCAGCAGTCACCAGATAAACACAGGGGAAAGGAGGTGGCTATGAGCTCACTTTTACAGACTTGGCTGAGCGAGGCATGCTTTTGAACCGAGCTTGACCTGAGGCTTGAAGGTGCCGCGGAAGACCGGCAAGTTCATCCGCCTGCTGTTCCACCACACTGCGGTCAGCTCAAGCACTGTGTGAGGCTAAAGCAACAGGCTGCATCTCAGCTACGCCCCTCCTCACCCTGTCCTGTCCCCACACAATGGGTTTTATTAAGTGTAACTGTTCCATCTGCCTTTTGTTTTGGAGCTGGAGTCTCACTCTCTCCCCCTGGCTGGAGTGCCGTGGCACACTCATAGCTGCCCCAGCATCGACCCGCTGGGCTCCAGTGATCCTTCGGCATCAGCCTTCCTTCCGAATAGCCGGAACTACAGGCACGTGCTACCACGCCCGGCTGATTTTTGATTGATTGTAGAGACGAGGGCTCGCCAAGTTGCCCGGGGTGGTCTCAAACCCGCGGGCTCAGGCAATCCACTCGCCTCGGCCTCCCAAAGTACTGGGATGACAGGCTGGGCCACCGAGCCTGGCCTCCATCTGTTTTTAACCTTTAAAAAAAATAGAGATGGGGTCTTGCTATGTGGACCAGGCTGGCCTTGAACTCCTGGGCTCAAGCAATCATTGACCTCCTAAGGTGCTGGGTTTATAGGTGGGAGCCACTGCCCCCGACCCCATCTGCTTTTAAAAGTCTCCGCATGTCTAAGTCATCCGCCTATGCTGTTATTCATTTTATTATTGGAGCCCCTGTCTTTCTATTCTGGGAGAGGAGAATTCCAGCCGCCCAGCGTGTTAGCTGGAGACTTAACACCCTCTAGTTAAGTCCCAGCTCACGAGTGCGTGGTGACCGGGCTGCCCTGCCCAAGGGATTCCCCGAGGGACCACCTGGCGTGCAATGATCAGCTCCTTTTTCTCGGATAACACCTGAAGCTCGGACTCGCTGTGGAGGCGACGGCAGCTGTGTGCGGGCTGGGAGACGCCCTGGCGCACTCTGCCCAGGCCCCACCGCGCCGCGGTTTTCTTTTCAAGCCAGTCTCACTCGGCTGCCCAGGCTGGATGCAGGGACACACTCGCGGCCACCGCAGCCTCGGCCCGCGGGGCTCAGGCGATCCTCCCGCCCCAGCCCTCCAAGGCGCTGGACCCGCAGGCGCGAGCTGCCATGCCTGTCTAATTTTTCGATTTACGGGAGAGGTGGGAGCTTGCCAAGTTGCCGGGCTGGCCTCAAACCCCCGAGCTCAGGCTGTCCTCCTGCCTCTGCCCTTCCAAGTGCTGGGATTACAGGTGTGGCCACGGTGCCTGCGGTTGTTTTCCTTCTGCTGCTTGCTGCTGGGCAGCTGTCACAGGCGCTTCCAGCCACCGCAGGAGCCCGGCTGCCTCTGGGGCGCGTCGGCCGAGCGCCGGGCAGGGGGCAGCGGCCCGCGGTGGTGCGGGCTTAGAGCGCCAGAAAGCCAG